GGTCATGGTACCCAAGATCCGGTGAGTGAGCCATAGGTAGCAAGTTACGAGCTAGGCATGGAATTTGATTGGCAAGGTGGTGGGTTTTAATTGGTTTGAATGGAGAGAAGAGATTATTGATCTTGCGATGTTCATAAGCTTTGACTTCTATAAAAAAAGTGGCTTGTCGGAGAAGAGAGATCCAGAATCGCAGTGGTTTTGGAGGATTACAGTGGTGATGATTGACTCGCCTCTACCGTCACACTAGAAAATGGCCAAGTGTAACCACCTACTAGAGCATAGTATAGCAGGTTTGGGTTTTAATGTCAACGCGGGTCCTAAGTGTGATGACTACTCCGTGAATTCTTATTATTTAGCAGGGAAAGTGTGTGAAGGTCCAAGTAAAGCAGTAAAAGGTTGTTTTCAAGTTGAGAGAGGTCACCCGGATATGGTTCCCCCTAGACCGCAGTTAAGCCAAATTGTAATTTACCAAGTTCGAATTCAAAGATAGTTATAATGCGGGAGGTTCTTATGCAGTCTGCAGTCTCGACTAAAGGTCTCCAGACCCTCTCAATCTGAGTCCCCAGCGGGCGGCTAACCTCCACCGGAGTAAACAGATTGAGCTCCTAACGATCCAAACCACCACTACCGAAGTAAATCCGGTACAGGATAGTGAACTGACTCCTCGACTAAAGTCGTCAATTCACTACCTTCAATCAAGGGCTCTTTATCAACCTAGGAAGATATTCTCTTTCTAGGTCAAAGCAGAAACAACAGGAATTTGATCAGGATTCATGCCATTCAACAAATCAAACCTCAATTGAATATAATCAAATCAATGGATTCATACTTGGGTTCATAAATCAGACCTAACATACAAATCTAGGGTTCTTCATACCCAGGTGAATGTGGAAGTTACTCCACGGAGAGAGAAGCAAACTCTAGCTCAGAAGCAGAAATCATGCTGTGAAGGATGGGGTTCTACTTCTGATCGGCAATCGACACTTCTCCAAGCATTATCCGAGCTCCTCTGATGATGAAGATCGATCTAAGACGCTTGGGAACTCTGGTTCGTCGCTTTCTCTCTCTAGGTATCACTTTCTTTCTCTAAAACTCGGAACTCTTCAAAAATCAGCCTTCTTCCCCTTAAAAACCAGCAGGCCGCGATCCCCGGTCGGGTATTTCAGGTGCCCGGTCGGAGATTTCAAAACGCAGCCCACAGGACAGGGCTAATACCCGATCGAGGTCAAGAATACTTGATCAGGTATTTTTGCTCTCTGGTCGGGCCCCCTTCTGGACTCTGGGCGCCCAAAATCGCTTTTCCCCGGCCTCATCAGATTTTTACCCGGCCTGGTATTTTTGCTCATGGCCGGGTATTTTGCTCCTCCAGCACCCTTCAACTCAAACGTCCTCCTTTTGACCCGAAACTCGTTTCTTCGCCTCAATGTCAACGCCAAGCCCTGAAATATGGCATAAACACACAACCTAGCATGAAATCGGCTTAAAACACGAGAATCAACATCCCAAATGGCTCAAGAATAGGGGTAAAAACATGTGCAATCAATGGTCTATCAATGATCGTAATTGGCTAATTGCTCAAGTGATTCAATTGGAAAATTATCTTTTCATAGCTGTTGTTAAGTTTGGGAAGGAAACGTTAATGGTGCAACAAAAGTTAGATTTAGGTGGTTTATTTGCAACAAAATATACTAATATGGTCAATATGCAACCCAACTAAAACTTAAGTGCTATTCTATGCATTTAACCCGAAAAGTGCACATGTGAAAATTTTGGAAAAAATGACTACTATGATGAAAAGAGGTAGAGGTGAGCCCTAGAATGAATTCAACGAGGTTAAGTAGAGAGGTTGTAGGTAAGCTTGCACTTAATGGTGATAACGATAAATTGTTATAAATGGGAATGATGAATCAGTCTTGGACTTAGAAATGGAAGGATTTTGATTGTTTTGACATTGACTTTAGGAAGAGATGAATCCATTGATGATTAATTAATGATATGTAGCTCTAAGATATATGATTTGAAGATTGACGATGAATTAGGAAAGCAAATATTTCATTCATAGAAGGTACGGGTTCTAGACTATGAATGTTAGACATAGCTAGCTAACCCTAGATATGCCATAATGCCAATCTTGATCTATAATCAATCTTCATTGCTGATCTTTTCTTGTCAAAAAATTCTTACTCCTTAACTAGTGAACATAGGATAATCTATCTGCAATCATCGGATGTGTTGAGATCTTTAAAAGATGTGAAGTTGAATGAGTATTTTGAAGATGCAACCTCAATTTCAGAGAGGAAGTTTTGAACACCGACAAAGGAATCTAAATATTTATGAGTCGAACTTGTGCTCATGGTCATGGATATAGGTGTCAATCAGGCGGGTTTGGGCTGGGTTCAATCGGATTTGGGATCAAACGGGTTGCGGGTTCACCAAGTTGCGGGTTTATCGGGTTCGGGTTCAAACGGGTTGCGGGTTAGTCGGGTTACGGGTTCATCGGGTTCAATCGGGTTATAGGTTCATCGGGTTTTGGGTCAGGCGGGTTGCGGGCGGATCGGGTTGCGGGTTGTTCGGGTCAGCGCATCGAGTAACTTACTCCTTACTCGTTACCAACTTCACATTTTATTACACTAATTTAAAATATTTTTCTCAAATTTTAACCAATTTCTTTCTACCTCGTATATATACTTAATTCTAAAAAAACAGTCAAAATGTTGAATCAATTTATAGGACTTGCAAACTTGTTATGTAAGTAATAATCATAATTGATAAAATACACTAGCTAATACTAATGGTTATATCAACATTTGCAACAAAAGACACCATTAATTATTTGGTATTTTAATATTATTTCAGTAGTAATTGGATTATAATATCTCGTTTAGAATAACCATGCAAATCTGGTATTTGGCGTGTGGTATTTGGCAAAAGTAGAGTGGTAAAATGAGTTATTTCGAAATAACTCATTGCCCTAATAACTTCAGTAAACTGTTGTCAACCGAGTTATTTGTAAAATTGTTCGAATTACCCTAAAAATTGAACCATTAAAGATTAACTATCAAATTTAGTAAAATTGTTGTGACTTCAATCATAACTTACTCAATAACATATATCCTATACACTTACCCTTACTCTCAATCGATAATATTAAGTTAATATATGTTATTAATCGTATACCATAAACCATTAATCGTAAACCATAAATCATCATGAAGTAACGTAAGAGTTTTGGATTCAGCGATGATGCTGCTGTGAATGGATTATGAGAAAAGCAAAATTCACTGGGGTTGCAGCAGCTAGCATGAATGCACAGCAAATCTCTAATATCCCGTTTCTTTTAACTAATGAAGAGAAATTGTAGTAGTTATTCGTCAATCCTTCTAATGGAGGGTTTTGGATTCAGCGATGCCAGCAGTGCGGTGATGTAGAAGAGGAGCAATACGTTAGTTTCCATTCCACCACATCGACAATTGAAGTGGTCGCTTCCTCTAAAAAACCAAAAAATTGAAAATATCAAATTTGTTTTCTTCTTCTTTCCATAAAAAATTAAAATACTAACATTTTCCTTAGGAATGGCAATGGGCAGGTCCGGGGCGGGTATCTCGATACCCATACCTTCCCCATGGCAGGTCGGGTACAGGTCGGGTAATTTATCACGGGGTGCGGGTCGGGGCAGGTCGGGTAATTGGGTATGTAATTTATGTGAAAAATATTAGAAATATTCGTTCTTTTCATTGAAAGACCAAGAAAGAAACCATAATATGATAAAAATGTAGTTAAATTATCGAAGAAATTGAAGTTTTTACTTATTTAAAACTTTATTATAGCTAAAATATAATGTAATAAGAGGAAAATCTTAAGTAATTTAACTAAGATTATATGTAATTTAGGCAAGAACGGGTCGAGAAAGGGGCGGGTCAGGGCAGGTCGGGTCGATGAGAGGTACCCATGCCCGCCGCCCCCCCCCCCCCCCCCCCCCCGGGCCTACGGGGCGGGTTTGACCCGTCCCAAAACAGGTCAAACAGGTCGGGTAAATCGGGTCAGGTCGAAATTGACATCCCTAATTTTCCTCCTTTCTCCTTCCATAAATTAGAAACACTCAATTTTCCCACTTCTTTCTTTTCCATAAAATTGAAAGAACCAAATTTACCTCTTCTTTCTCTTCCATAAAATTGAAGAACCAAATTTCCCTCTTTCTTCCTTCTTTACACAAAAAGTTGAAAACTCAAAATTTCCCACCTTATTTCTATTTCATAATCAAAAGAACCAAATTTTTCCACAAATCAAAACCACCAAAATTCAATTTCCCTCTTCTTTCTCTTCTCAAAAAGTTGAATACACCAAAAATTTCCTCTTCTTTTAATAGCATCAAATTACAAATACATTACTTTACTTTATTTATATGTAATTGATAATTTTATTGAATATTTAAGTTAATCAAAATTTTAATTTATATATTATATTAATATTGTCCATGATCTCAATTATTAATTTTTCATTATTAATATTGACATTGTGTTGATTTTATATTTCATATTTACTTTTTTAATTTAGTTAAAGAACTTAGTGTTCAAGTGACGTTCATGTTTCATATTTTTTTAAATCCCTTATACAAAATGAAAAATAAATTTTACCTAAGTGTAGAATGAAAAACTTTATTTTGAAAAACTATGTGTTGTATAATATAATAATCATTCTAGTGGATTAGGTGAAGTTCGTTTTGAGTCGCTCGGGTTACGGGTTAGTCGGGTTCGGATCAATCGGGTTCGGGCTTAATCGGGTTGCGGGTCAATCGGATTTGGGTTAATCAGGTTGTGGGTCAGTCGGGTAGCGGGTTAGTTGGGTTGTGGGTCAGTCGGGTTGCGGGTTGTTGACTTTTAGTCAATTTAGATTGCGAGTTAGGTTAATCGGGCGGGTTAATCGGGTCTGATTCTGTTTTGACACCTATAGTCACCAGGGTTCATCGGTCAATTTATACACTCTATTGGCTGAACCATAATCCCCTCGGCTAAGTGGAGTCTCAATTAAGCCCATTGGGCTGTTGGCGAGGGATGCAGTCCTCATTGTTGACTTGTTAGCCCAGGTTTAGCATGGACCAAAATTATCGTTGATTCTCGGACCAAAGACTTTCTGCAGCATCGAAACAGACGAGGGAAGGTCACCCCGCGCGGCCGCGCCCCCGCGCCTTCCGCATAGGCACGATACTGACTGCCACCGCCCTGGAAGTGGAAGAGCAGACACTTTGAAGATACAATAGCCATCAACGGTAACGATGTCAATTGTACCTTCATACCTTCATGTTCTGCCTTTGGGTTTCAGGTGAACCATGAGAAAAAACAAAGAGGATATCAAGTAGGTTGTTGTGGCTGCTGATTACTTTCATATGAATAGTAGAACTCTTATCAGTTTATGGGCGAGTTGAGGAGCCAAAACGAGCCTAAAGGTTCAGAATAAAGTTCGTACCTTTCTAAGTTTCTTCAATCGTGTTGATAGTGATAGGGTAGAGAGCTTGGTCTTAATTAGCCACCGAGAGGGTTCTTTGTGTTATAACTTCACTGCGAATTTCCTGATGTTTTCTGTAGTTGGATTCTGATAATTTCTGTTAATCAAGTCTTGCAGGAATTGGAGAGACCGAAATTCTGTTACTCACTTTTCTGGTCGTTGAATTTGAGTGTTGAGAGTGTGAAGTAGATAATGGATGCTGAAGCAGTCTCAGGGTTCACGCTTAAATCCAAACAGAAACGTTCATTTGGGAAACCTTGGAAAGGATAATCTAGGGTTAAAAGAGATGGTTCTCTGAAAGGGAACAATGGCAGTGGACCTCCTCATTCAATGTGGGTTTCTCGTAGAGAAGGTGGTAATTCAGGAAGAAGGGGTGAATCTATTGAAGTTGCAGATGATGAAGTTAGGCAATTGCGTGGGAGTAAGCGTACTAGTAACTCGAAGGGGATTGATAAACTGGATAATGATGGGAACAATATACTGAAGAGACATAGCAAACACGAGTTAAACTCAAATACAGTTCCTGATAGGAGTAAGAGCAAAATCATGGGAACTTCTTTTATAACTTATGGGAAGAAAGGCTTAAGGAGTAAAAGGATCAGTCTCGATAGTGATACCAAGATTCAGGATGACGAACCGAAGAAGAAGAAAAAACATGTTATGCGTCTAGATCCATACGATACTTCAAACAACCGAATGGATGATGGATTGGTTGTCAATGGTAAGAATCTTTTCAAGTATAGCCTATCTAAAGACTTGTAATTCTTTCTTTAAAATTTATAGCATGTCTTATGTTCTTTCCCATGTTTCTTATCCCTTTTCTTTTGTTTCTCATAGAAACTTCCAAAGAAAAGAAGAAGCAATTAGACAAAGAAGTGGCAATGTCAAAGAATGCAGAATTCCGTGTAATTAAACCAAGTCCTTCCATCCTTTCCTTTGTGGAAGACAATGTAATTTTCATGTCTTCTTCATAATTTTCAACAGTCATTCAATATGTGGTAATTTCCCCTTATTGTACTTACGTGGATTCAACCTTCAGTTGTTGGGTCGGCGGCGTACTATTGAGCTAAAAAGGGCTGGATATAACATTGAGTTGTCTGCGCCACTTGATAATCTCCCGGATTCCAAAAGCTCTGAGAGAGAACGTATTGAAGAAAATGTATGCATATCCTCTGTTTTATTGCAATTCTTGTGTCAAGGAATGGTGTCTGTTCTGCAATTGCTGTTGTTTCTTCTATATTCATTTAGACTTTTGCTAACTTGTTTACAGGTCTTCAGGAATAAGTTGACCTTTTTTGCTGCTGCAAAAGTTTCATCTTTGTTCCCACCTCCCAATCTTCCAGAGATTGCATTTTCTGGTATGTCTATATCCCTGTGTAGAAGTGTGGTAATTATGTGTGTGCTTGCATTTTATTTCTGGTGTTGGTTTTACAATATCACCCTACTTTAACAGTCAATTTGAATATGTAACCAAATTGGTCTATATATCACCCTACTTTAACAGTCAATTTGAATATGTAATCAAACTGGTCTATCTTCCTATTTCGTTAGTATATGTCTTCCAAGTATGAACACTCAATAAAATAGCCGTTTTTTTATTCGAGTTCATTGGAGTATTTTGCCATGTGCCATGCAGGCAGCAGCAGTCTGTTCCAATAAAAGTATGGTTCTTTCTTGTAAGACATTGTTTGTCATTTAAAGTCTCGCTATGGTTCAATCCAAACAATTGTCATTCAGGAAGGTCAAATGTTGGGAAGTCATCTCTACTGAATTCACTTACGAGACAATGGGGAGTTGCACGAACATCAGACAAACCTGGCCTCACTCAGGTGCTGCTGTTTCTAGAAACTATTATCTCAACTGGTAATACTATTTTTCTTTTTTAATATATAAATTTGAATGGTTCATTATGCAGACGATTAATTTCTTTGAGCTGGGAAAGTTTTGCTTGGAGTATTTGCCGGGATATGGCTTTGCATATGCGAAAGAAGAAATTAAGGATTCTTGGGAAGAGCTTGTAAGTCCACTTAACAAATTTTCTTCCCTTACAGTGGTTGAATGTGCCCAGTAGTTTGGAATCTTAAGGCATATACGATAAATTTGGTATCTTTGTGGAAGCTCACTTGTGGTTTGGAAGAAGGTTGCGTAATCTTTCTAATTATTTTCTAAATGCCTGGATATGTACATTTTTGTATGCCATCATACTAATTGTTTTGGTCTGTACTAAAAGTGCATTAACTTGGTCAAACTACTCACTGATTTAGATGTATGTATTTCATCTTATTATTGTCTGAGAAGCTATACAATCCCAACTTTGCAGGTTAAGGAGTACGTGTCAACAAGAATGGGTCTGAAACAAGTCTTTCTTCTCATCGACACAAAATGGGGAATGAAACCGAGAGATTGGGAACTCATTAATTTGATGGAAAAGTAATCTCTTTTCTGTTCAGTACTATCCCCCTTTGGCAAACGCTAGTTTGTTAGAACTGTTGAGGCATTCTGAGGTAATGATTTGTTTATGCAGGTCTCAAACAAAATATCAGATTGTATTAACCAAGACCGATTTGGTGTTTCCAATTGATGTAGCACGGCGTGCTATGTAAATCGAAGAGGTGAGTGAGTTTACATCATCGCTTATTAATTCTTTTCTCTTAATCTGTTGTTCTATCTTTTGGTATCACATAGTTGGCTGTATCAAACAACCCCGCTTTTGCAGAGCCTGAAGGCTAACAAGTGCATAGTGCAGCCTGTGGTATGTGTTAATACACAACTGCAATTGTCTGTCTGGTTTCAACCTTGAAACAGTAGAGGACTAATAGTTGCTTGCTTACGGCTTTCCCTACAGATGATGGTGAGCTCCAAAACTGGAGCTGGGATTCGGACATTAAGGACAGTGCTCTCCAAGATTGCTCGTTTCGCCAAAATATAAAGATTCATGACCAGAAGTTGCCATTTGGTCTCAGTAGATTGCTTCTTTAATGTTGTTACATATTCTAGTCTGAACTAAGTGATGATAAACCAGCAATTTTTCTCGATGCTGGTGCTGTCTGGGGACGTTTACCTTCCTCCAAGGGACATAGGGTTGACCTTTTGTGTACAATATTAAATGTATAGTTAGGTGAAGGAGAGGCGTGGATGAATATTTCAAATGATGCATTATATATCATGCACGTGAGAGTGTGTAGGGTTTTAGATAATGCATAATTGAAGTGCATGATGGAGTTTATCATTTTGCTGCATTCCTAATAGTGGTAGTGGTGGTGGCAGAGTGACATGGGAAGCACTGTGTCACCAATTCCAGGCGTGGAAATGCAGAGGAATTGGGAGTAATTATATGGCAAGCCATCTTCGTTGACTATATCTGGTACCCAAGACATTGACATGCGTGAACATGGAGAGCGATAGCTACAACTGTTGTAATTTGTTGATGTATCTATTGAAAGGCGTCAATATGGCATGTTAACTGATATACCTGAACGATGCTCTGGTTTGGTTTTAGTCGCTTGAAGAGCATGTTTCGTGGTGGCACGTCTCTTAACAATGTTACTATTTTCTTGAAAAGGCCTTCTCCATTAGTGTACATACCAAGGTTTGAAGTTAGAGAGTGAGCTGAAATTGGTCATTCGCTGCTTGATGTTCAACCTTTTTCCGCAAATTAAACAAAGTTGTAGTTTGAGGGCAAACCAAATCGCAAACGATAAATAAATAATAATAATAATTAGTATAAATGAAATGAGTTTGTTGTGATTTATAAAATGAGAATTCTAAATCAATTTTAAGAAAATAAATTTCGTACCACCCACACCACTCGTTGACACCCTGGTTTCACCATGTACAATCTTCGTTTCCCTTTAAATTTAAAAATATTTTGCACAGAATGAACAAGTTCATTGTGACCAATTTGGATAAAAAATTTAGGGGGAGTGGAACTTTCTGGACCTAATATATCATCGTACATATACCACCATGGTGGTAGATGGTGATGAAAGTTGGTAAATAACGGTTAGTATATTTCTACTGTCATATATACATTCATATTCTATACTATGATATATTTTATACCACCGTGGTATAATATTGTGTACTTCCCAACATTACCACTACGGTATAGACCGTTAATATATATCTCAATTATTTTATTATAAAATATAACAAAGTGAACGTCATTTTAAAGAGCACATTAACATAACTTTTCTGTGAAAAAAATTAAATCACGACCTAAAACAAAAGAAATATCGCTAGTTAAAATTAATTGGGGTTATATATCATTAAGGGATATGTTATTGATACATTATTATTGTTAGATTGTCTATCCTCTTATGATATTTTGTTTTATAAGTACATGTCTTGACTAATCCAACATCTATCTAATATAACAAGAAACATTCAATATAATTACGGTTACTGAATTTGGCTGGATTTCCAAGCTATGAGCACTGATAGGTGATAGGTGAAGAGACCTGCACTGACTCGCTGAACCGCCTTCCGATGGGCACGTGAACCCCCCCCCCCCCCCCCCCCCCAAGTCATCAGCGGATTCGACTCCGCCGCCGGCAATATGGCTATGTAGCTAGTATGCAATGCCATCCCAAAATAAGGGTTGGTAAAAGACGCTTCGATGCTACTCAGGATAAGATAAAATCGAGGAATATAGTATTGGGCTGTTAAAACAAAGACGCGAGACGAAAGACAGTCTCTGGCGATTCTCGCTCCCTAGTTCGATGGAGGTTGATCAAGAATCCTGGAGGTAGCTGCTTCTCCGGTGCCTCCTGAGACCAGCGACGGCACAAGCCTCGCAGCTGATGGTGAAATCCATGTTTTACTTAAGTCTCCTGATCGTGGGATGACTGTCATTCCATGCACCGGGAGAACCCTTTGTCAAGCCGGGAACCTAACGACGGTGGCAAGCCGCATTGTAGGCCGGTGGAAAACTGCAATGGATATGTTGGGCAAATATTTCCCCTTGATACCAATTCCGCAATTCTCGGGTTTTCCCTAGTTTATCCAGATTGTTTGGTTACTTGGATTAAGAGTCCTACGCTGGGAAGAAAACGAATAAACCTAAACCGAGTTGGAGTATTTCATTCGGGGGCTGCCTCTGCTCATCCCTTTAAAAACCCTTTCCCAGGAACGATTTTCACTACCCTGCGTAGCGTTGAGCATCCGCAAAGAGCAGTTGTCTCCCGGTCGCATCCCAATCGCCCTCTAACTCAAGGTATTAGATTCTTTCCCTCCTGCCTTTTTACAATTAAGCCTGGCAGTATTGGCTTTGCCAAGGCCTTGGTGGTAGAGACCATGTAGTCCACGTGCATGGACGTCTTGCCTACGACGAGTCCGACACCAATTAAGGTGAATCAGCTCGATACTAACTCGCTTTCACTCCTGTGTCCCCATGCATGTATGATGGCTGGCGCTTCCTCCGATCAAGTGGTGGAATTCTCGATGGAAGAAGTGCAATCTTCCAAATACCGCACTGAGCAATCGATGTTGTGCCGCCTCTTCGTCAACAAACGGGGGGTCCGGATCCTATCAGTAACCGACCTATCAGTAACGGTCAGTAACCGTCCATCTGACCGTCCATCGCGCCATCTTCCCAACCGTCAGATCATGGCAATTAAATACACGCGGGGGCAAAAAGGTAATCACGCCTTCTCTCCTTCTGACAATTTGAATTGCAGACGTGATCGCGACAACCGTCCCGCCTTCTCTCCATTCTTCCTCCCGTTCCTCTATTCTCTCACCCAAATCGCAGCAAAAACTTCCAGAAAAAACTTCAAATCGAACGATTTTCGCAAAGCTTTTCGAAGAATCATTCAACGAAACTCTTCGTCGAAAAACGAAGGGTTTCCAACTTCAACGAGTCTCAAAAATCGTTTTCGCACAAAATATCAAGGTAAAACCTCACTTCTTTCTTCGAAATCCATCCATAGAACAATAGAAACAGTATTTCAGTCACTCTTCATGTGAAAATTGTAGTAAAACTTGCTACATTACCGAATCGTTAGCATGCATTGCTGAACTGGTGTAGAATCTGTTGTGTTTTGCTTCGTTACCACATGGTATGGCGTGGTAAACTATGATTGCACGTTATAAAAAAGCAAAAAACTATGTTTTGCTTTGTTACCATATGGTAATGTGTGGTAAGCTATGGTTTCATGTTGTAAAAAAGCAAAAAAACCATAAGTGCTGCTGTGTTTTAGTTTGTTACCATATGGTAATGTGTGGTAAGCTATGGTTTCATGTTGTAAAATAGCAAAAAAACAATAAGTCCTGCTGTGCTTTAGTTTGTTACCATATGGTAATGTGTGGTAACCTATGGTTTCATGTTGTAAAATAGCAAAAAACCATAAGTTCTTCTGTGTTTTAGTTTGTTACCATATGGTAATGTGTGGTAACCTATGGTTTCATGTTGTAAAATAGCAAAAAACCATAAGTTCTTCTGTGTTTTAGTTTGTTACCATATGGTAATGTGTGGTAACCTATGGTTTCATGTTGTAAAACAGCAAAAAACCATAAGTCCTGCTGTGTTTTAGTTTGTTACCATATGGTAATGTGTGGTAACCTATGGTTTCATGTTGTAAAAAAGCAAAAAACCATAAGTCCTGCTGTGTTTTACTTTGTTACCATATGGTAATGTGTGGTAACCTATGGTTTCATGTTGTAAAAAAGCTAAAAAACAATAAGTGCTGCTGTGTTTTAGTTTGTTACCATATGGTAATGTGTGGTAAGATATGGTTTCATGTTGTAAAAAAGCAAAAAAACCATAAGTGCTGCTGTGTTTTAGTTTGTTACCATATGGTAATGTCTGGTAAGCTATGGTTTCATGTTGTAAAATAGCAAAAAAACAATAAGTCCTGCTGTGTTTTAGTTTGTTACCATATGGTAATGTGTGGTAACCTATGGTTTCATGCTATAAAAATGGAGGAAAACATACGTCCTGTTGTGTTTTACTTCGTTACCATATGGTAATATGTTATAAGACATGGTTTGATGTAATTACCATATGGTAAAATGAGATAAATATATGGTTTGATTTCGTATGGTAGGAAACCATTATCGTACCATATGGTATATTATGGTAAAAAGCATACTAACAGACTATTACTAATTTCTACATTCAGGTACACTATGGTAAAACCAAGACACAGTTTTCGCACAAGGTGCAGCCCAACAAGAATATCTGCAATTGCAAGGTCAATAACAGATGAACGGAAAGAGCAACTTGACATATTAGGCCTAGCAGGCTTAATATCAATCAAGCAGACAAAGATAAACAACCATTTTGCACTGTTCGTAATGAACAAATACGATCCAGAGAAAGAATCGTTCAAGTTACCTGACGGGACACACATGAAGATATCACCAATCGACTTTCATAGGGTATATGGTCTGCCGATGGGGGATAGGGAAGTTGTACCTCCCACGATTTCTTGGGATGACGCAGCAGATTATGCAGTAGAAACCCTACTCGAAGTAGATGGAACATCCACTCCAAGGGTAAAGCTAAGTCAGGTAGAAAAAGATCTTCCTACAACCAAACTGACTAAGAGATGGATGCAATTGTTCTTTCTGCTGGTCACCGGAGGCTTGCTGTGTCCAACTTCAGCACCTATGGCTGAACTCAACATGCTTGAGTACTTGAAGACCGAAGAACTGAAACATTTCACCAGCTACAACTGGTGCAAATACTTCTTCAAACACATGAATGAAGGATTGAAATCACCAAAGCTCTATGTCAGTGCAGATCTTCACTTCCTTACAGTAAGTCTCCATTCCCTTGGCCATTTCAACCTTGTTACTCATATATTTTATATATAAATGATACTCTTTGAAAAAAACTAATACAACTATCTGCATAAAAAGGTATGCTTCATGTACAAACTGGACGAAATGGCATTCTCAACCCAGCTTCGAACACCAACAGTAAGCTACTATGATGATAACAATGTTGATAGCAACTTTGAGAACATTAAGAGCTACTACAATGGAAAAGAGTTGAACGAGATCGAAAAGCTTGCCAACATTAATGACGATGAGGCTGATGGTGCAGCTGATGAGGAAGAGGAGAATGAGCCAGTCTATGAATCACCGAAAAGACAAAGAAACAAAAGTCCAGACCAGTCATCATCACTGAACTTTGATTTGAAGAATATCAGAACAGTCAACCAAGTAAGTACAAATTATCTATATTACAGTTGTCCAATTAATACTAAGCGTAAGTCCTTTTGTGTTTTAGTTTGTTACCATATGGTAAGGTGTGGTAAGCTATGGTTTCATGTTATAAAAATGGAGCAAAACATAAGCCCCCGTTGTGGTTTACTTCGTTACCATATGGTAATGTGTGGTAAGCAAATGGTTTCATGTTATAAAAATGGAGGAAACCATAATTCTTGTTCTGTTTTACTTTGTTACCATATGGTAATGTGTGGTAAGCTATGCTTTCATGTTTTAAAAATAGCAAAAAAACAACAAGTCCTGCTGTGTTTTAGTTTGTTACCATATGGTAAGGTGTGGTATGCTATGGTTTCATGTTATAAAAATGGAGGAAAACATAAGTCCTGTTGTGTTTTAATACGTTACCATATGGTAATGTGTAGTAAGCAATGGTTTCATGTTATAAAAATGGAGGAAACCATAATTCTTGTTCTGTTTTACTTTGTTACCATATGGTAAGGTGT